ATATCAATGATCACCTTTGCTTCTGATGATAGGCCATAACCATCTTTTGCTTCTATCATCATCTCATATTTTGATCCTTCTTCATAATCTATGTTGCCTGTTACGATTATTGATCCAGTTTGTTGATCGAGTAAAAAAAGCTTTTTTGTTTTATCTGAAAGTTGGCTAAACTCATATGTAACTTCCCCATTGACACCTTCATCTGCATCTGTTGCACTTACTGTTAGCACCAGAGAATTCAGAGGTGAGTTTTCCGGTAAGCTGGCTGTATATACAGCCTCAGTAAAAACCGGGGTGTTATCATTAGCATCCAGAATAATGACGTGTATGACCACAGTACCTGATCTCTGAGGTGAACCACCATCTACAGCTGTGAGCAATAATTTCAGCTCCTTCTGCTCCTCTCGATCTAACTCCTTATTCAAAACTAACTCCCCATATTTACGTCCTACATTCGTTGTTTGAATATTAAACACAAAGTGTGCGTTTTGTTGTAAAATGTAGCTTTGTACGGAGTTTTGGCCTATGTCTGCATCGTGTGCTGCATTGATACGATACCTAGCTCCTTTATCAGCTGATTCGCTGATTTCCAGTTTCACAACATCCTTTTGGAAGATTGGTGAATTGTCGTTTATGTCCTGAACCTGCAGGGACAGTCGGTGCAGCTCCAAAGGATTTTCTAACAGCAAGTCGAATTTTAGAACACATGTAGGGTTTTTCCCACAGTGTTCTTCTCTGTCTATTCTCTCCGAAATGACTAAATCTCCGCTTATGACGTTAATTCTGCAATATTGCTTCTCCTTTCCTTCCACGTCAACACGAGCTTTACGATTAGCCAGCTTCCCCACATCCAGGCCGAGGTCTTTAGCAATATTCCCAATAACAGATCCGCGTTTCAGCTCCTCTTGAACAGAATAGCTCAGGTCTCCGTGCGCGTAGTGAACCACAACAAAGGCAAATATGAAGCCGCAGCTTACCCGAAATCGTCCTACATTCGCCATTCTCAGGCACAATAATAAAGAGAAACACCTACGGAAACCAGCAATTTAGCGGTTTTTCCACTCAGTATTTCAAGCGTTTGACTCCTGCTGCGTAGAACATAAAAGACATAGTGGCCAAACCCAGTAATGGGTGGTGAGCAAAAGACTTCAATGTTTGGTTTCATTGCTGGTCTACAGTGACACCTTGAGTGTATACCAACTATAACAAGTATATGGGAATAGTGTTTGTTTTTTTGATGGAAAAACCCATATAGCCAATTTAAAAAGCATTGAGAAATAAATTAAATTAGGTGTAACATCATTCTCTCTTTTTTTACTTCTATCTGGGTCATTTCTCATCATGACGAAAAAAGACTTCATATGGTCCATAAAACTTGATCAAAGATTATACGAAATTCAGTATTGAACATAACATTTTTAAAATGTATCCAAGATTGGACCAAGTTTGTCTCATTCTGTCCGCCAGCCTTTATCTCTTCTTCAGAAAAAAAATTAAATGATTTCATGCGGTCAGCTTTTCTGAAAGAGGACGAACGCCGGCTCTTTGAGGTATACAAAAAAAATTACATTGAAACTTTAAAATAATCATGTTATTGATTTCCTCTCATTGGCTCTGAAGTGAATAATTTAATGCATTTTACTCTACTGTTGAAAAAGTAGTTGGCAAAATATCCTGACAGTGAAAAATGTGTATTATTAAGTATCAATGAAAGTAATCTTTGTGTGCATTGTAGTGAAATACACCAACGAATAGTGGTGAGAGAAAGTTGTATTTATCGATTCAGTTAAAGCCTCTGATTTTCACCAAGAAAGTAAGCTGGACAGGAAATACATTTGGTATCTCTGACTCCAATTTTTGGACAGATTGCTTTTTTTGTGTAAGATGTAAAACTGTAGCGATGTAAAAAATGGATAATTTCCTCATAATTTTTATAATAAGTGAAAAAAGAAAGTTCAGCACCAAGGACAGAGAAACGAAGACATAAGTTTTAGAAAAGACAGGAAAAGACAATGATACGATGATAACTGATGAGTTAGTGTTTTAAAACTCGTTAAAAACTCTTTAAACTCTTCAAAACAGTCTTCAATATGCACTGCAAAGTTAGTTATGATTCTTGTATGTGAGATAATGCTGGATCACATTTTTGTTGATATAATATGTAATACGGTAATATATTCAGTTTACAATGGAACACATATATAGATGTCTATACAGTTAGATAATTATATATGAAAGTATGATTATCTACTGACATTAGATGTCATGCTGTGGGTTGATGGTACCAAGTACAACACCATGCTTAAGCCAAGATTATAAAATGATTTATGTTCACTATTCTTAGTTTGTAAAATGAAAGGAACCCACAGATAATACTTCTTGCAATTATATATTTGTGTAAACACAAATGCTACAAACAATTAAACATTTGTAAATGGTTAATTGGATCCTACCTCAGTAGAACATTCTGTAATTCCAAACGCATCTTCAAAGTCTGTTGGGCTTTTCTTTAGAGTCTGTTCAGCTGGCAGCGTGTTGTCATTGTAAGATGATACAAACTTAAAGTCACTGGTTCTAGAACCTGTTGTCAGATACGCGTCATAATTGTAAGCGCTGCGTAAAGTTCCTGTGCCGTCAACGTCTGCGTAATTTGGAGGGAGATAAGCACTGGGGATGGCCACTGCTCCGTCAAACAACAGTCTGGGCTTTCTCCTGCGACAAAACCTCACACCCAGGATGATGATGATGAACGTCAGAAGGAAAGTGGACACAGACACCAGCGCGATGATCAGGTAAGAGGTCAGTTTGGAGTTCTTCTCATCGTAAGAAATATCCTTCAGTTCTGGCACCTCAGCCAAGTTATCAGAAATAAGTAAATACATGGCACACGTGGCAGACAAAGAGGGCTGGCCGTTATCTTTCACTGCCACTATCAGGTTTTGTTTCATGCTGTCAGATTCAGAAATGTCCCGCTGTGTCCTGATCTC